TTATAAACTAGAGCAAGATCAGAATGGCATATTAGTGTGCACACTCGAAAGCATAAAATAACAAGCCGTTAGTAAATATGCGAAAGCTCGCATGAGAACGCATGCCACGCCAGGCATGGAGTTCGATGTGCATCGATGTTTTGCTAATATTCTAAGAGGCAAATATAAAGAAAGTTAAAGCCTCATTAAGAAAACGTATCGAACTAATTTGACGTGTAAATACTCTAAAGATGCACAAACCACCCTGAAACCAAAATTATGTTAATAGTCAGCTAAATAAATTAATATTTGTCTACGAAAGCAGACCGGTAGTCGGCTCCAGGATGAAGAGGCACGTTAATTTTCACGTGCCAACAAGGCACGTTAATTTTCGCTGTTGTAACAGGTTAATTGATCAACAATAGGCTTTTTCTACAAGCTGAATGAACTACAAAGCACCTGCAGTTACCCTAGGTCATCAAACAAGGCTGATTAAAACACTGGATACAGCAGAAAAATAGTCTAATTACCAAGAAGAGAAATGTAACTCGACGATGCTCGGTCACCACAAAAAACATGCTAGACAGATTCAGGTCCAAGAATAGCTAATGAGGTAGCACCAGGCATAAAATGGCAAATATTTAATCGATGATTAGAGTACATAGAAAGTCATGTATAAAAAGAGTCCCTTTTCTTACCGGATCATGCATGCACGCTCCGTTGAGCCTCAACAAATGTCAAACTAACGTTCGATAGCATCACTGAAGGAAAAAAGTCCAGGCGAAATTCAGAGAGACGAAATTAAAGTTAATCACGCGTACCGTTTATCCTCGAGTATTTAGGTGCAACAAACATTGGCATGCAGTGCAAGTTCTCATACGATAACGTGGCACTTATAATTGCGAAGAATCTACAAGCGCAGGGTCAAGTTATATGGATGGAAGTTAGCTGAGCATGAAAGAAGCATAAGCGTCAAGTAAATCCATGTAAATAGGCTATAAAATGCATGTATACACTGTGCACGCTAAGACTGAAGAGTCATTAATTAACCGATCTCAAATCGATCTCAGAAATGTCGTTAATTGATCTCGACAGAAAATTTAAGACCCAAAAATTGTCCAGCCATGCGTATCAAATGAACTGGGTGCGTAGGTTTCGATTGTAGGAACAATCATAGCATCACTGAACAATATTTACTGCAATGATTTGGACGAAATAGCAGCTAGCTCAGCACTAGGATCCGAAGGCCAGCCCGTATATAGCATAAATTGGACTAATATAACAGCGATCCTCAGATTAGTGAGCGTTAATTGCTTTAAAACTTTTAGATAAACGAAGGCTCGATGCTAAGCGAGTTTAATAACCTTTGCACCGGGCCTTCTAAACTAAGAAGAACGTCCCTTAGCAATATTAAGAACAGGTAAAAGAAGCGAATTTCAATGGCATTGAAAACAAGAAACCCATGCTCCTGCACAAGTGTTGACTAAAAAAGTTAAAACCGGGAATTCAAAATAAAATTTCTTCCCTAATTCGAAAACATAATCGGCCACCGACGTGCTAATAAATTGCGTGCGAGCGCGACCACGGCTCAACAACGAAAACAAGGAGCCTGAATCTCGGGCAACGGCCGCGGGCTGAGCCAAGTTAGGGCATTGCAGTCAAGTTCCTTGCGTGGGACCAGCCTTTTGGCCGGCAATCTACACGGCAATGCCTGCGGGGGGTGCACCGCTCCCAAGCTCCATCGGCCGGTTCTCGTACGGCTCAAGGGTGTAGAAATTTCTGCTACGCCACAGACGGCGCCGCCATGCTGGAGTGACAAGCGTATCAGCTCAGGGCAGTCGACGTCTTGAGTTGCGTTTGTAACGAGTAAGTACGGAGGTCATGCGTCAGCGGTGATGGTTGATTTTACATTTGTGATTGACAGTCACAGTTGGAGGTGGGAATAATGGTGGGCTTGAGGAATTGCGAGTTTACAGTCGTTTGCGAGGGTGAAGCTTCTAGGTTCTAGGCAGCCTTCAATGAGCTCATATTACCGTAAAGCGTAAACCATGAAGATAGTGTGGAGGGAAAACTGCGTTTCTCTAAAAGTTCAATGCGCTTATCCATAGAAATGAGTAGTTCCTCGGGTATCCGGGTATATAAAAATTCCATTAGCATTTCTTACTTAGGGTTTCAAAGGAAGCTTCTTTAAATAAGGCTTCAGCCTGGTATTCCATTAATTAACAAAAAATTGGTTTTGGAAGTACAGGGTGCTTCAGAATTAAGTAACCCTTTTAATTTGTTAATAAATAAAAAACTAAGAACGTTATAAAGTTGAAACTTGTTTTATTTAAAAGAAGAACATTTTCATGGTAATATTGTATCATAGTTACGTCATTATCCTGTATAGCTTGCTAAATTTGTGTTTAATTATCTAACCTTAAATTTTCATCATGATTCGCTACAGCAAAGAAGAAAGAACAAAAATTATCGCTACAGTCAATAACGATGTCAATAACAGAAGTTCAACGTGATTACAGGATCCATTTCAAAACAAGGATCCTTCAAAAAACACATTTAAATATCTTTATCGAAAATTTGCGGATATCAAAAATTTGCACTCTCGTCAGAAACACTAATGAAGGTTATGAAAGCAACGAAGGAGAAGAGCCCTATTTTGTCAAAACAATTGTGGTGGGCATTTAAAAGATTTTATATTTAAAAACTAGGATACAATATTACCATAAAAATGTTCTTCTTTTAAATAAAACAAGTTTCAACTTCATAACGTTCTTAGTTTTTTATTTATTAACAAATTAAAAGGGTTACTTAATTCTGAAACACCCTGTATAATGATAGCAGGAGAGACGATTTTATGAACGGATTCACAAATTTAAAAGATTAATTAAAAAATTTCGGTACAGGAGATCGCCTGCTAGTTTTATACAAACAATACTCCCATAAAATGATACTCCCAAACAAAGGCTATTCAAATAAATGTATATTATTCATCGTAGTACACTATACAGGCCGTTACAAATACGGAATAGATCCTTCGAAATGTTTTGGCTGCTAAAAATTAAAACGAAACGAGAACTCAACCAACAAGAGAGAACAGAACCGAAATGTGCAATGAAATGAATGATAGGAAAAGGAATGATCTATCATGCGTAGTACTCATTCACACCGGCCCCCTTACAAATTTTATTTCCTATCATGCAGTGTGTGTCAGAGAAAATTTATTCAAGAAAAAAATTCGTTAAATAGAAAAACTATAGGGAGCACGCCTACAAGGATGGTCTTCAATTTTTGTTTCAGTCACGGAATGTCACGATCAAACATTGGACGAGAGAAAATGGTGAGCTTGCAGTACATTTGCAGGTATTATTTTGTAATGGCCAGAAATGGTCAAATCCTTCTACCGGCCTCCTGAGATTCATGCGATTTCTTCTTATCAAAGCAGCATGGAAACAATTCATGTGGTGTTATGTAAATTAAAATTATAATTATTCCGACATCTGTCTTAGTTTCATTCTTATTGACTCCTCAAAAAAAAAATAATAAATTTCTCGGATGTACCCTAGTTAGAGGAAAGCAGAAAACATTTCTCAGAAATGCGTGTGTCAATGATTCATGCATTGCAATACCAGTGGGAACTTATTCGGCCAAGCAGTTGAAAGAAACGTAAATTACTGTGTATTGCTAATTATTAAGTAAATAAGCGATGCAAGCGAGCAATGCACGCAAGTAGGCAATGCACGTGAGTCGGCGATACAAGCGATTCAAGAAAGTATCAAGTCTAAAATTATCCAAATAAGGACGATCCCAGCTCTCATCACATGGGATGGTTAGATTGCATAGCACCGACCTGAATTGAAACGGCCTCCGGCTATTCCGTAGAAAACTGCGCCTCACCTGAGATTTAAAATTAGCAGTAAAATCTTCCAGCAGACAGGTTTTTGATACGCGAGGACTGTTGTACTAGAAATATCGGCAGGAAATCTGTTTAAAAAAACACTCGCTGAAGCGCGCAGAAAACACGTAGTCAAGCTATTTCTACCGGCATACTGACAGATAAGCTAATCCCGTTTTGAGCAACCTAATTTTACAGTTACAAATTAAAAAAAAACTTGAATAAGAAATAAATCTTGCTCAGAGTGATGTATAGAGGCTTAAAACCTCCTTATCATCCTGAACGCGACAAGCGAGATCACAAATATCTCGACTATATTGTTAAATCCAGTCAAAAAATGTCTGGACGAGGTAAAGCTACTGCATCCCAATGCAAGTTTTTCGTGGCAGCCAGCAGGACGATGCTATAAAAAGAGATTAGGCTTTATTGAACATGAGATAAAGCTCATGCAACAGAACCGTCGTCATTTTTTTCGTACTCGGAGGCGCAACAAAGGAACCTCCATCAGAGCATCAAAAAGCAGTCGAGTGGTCAGGGAACGATTTAAAACTCTCGAAACATCTCAAATTTAACAACGAGTCTCCTGCGGAGGTGATGCAAAAAGCACAGAACAAACTCCATGTCTGCGTTTAGTGCCATTTGAGTTACGGAACGTTCAGCTAACTGTAGGAGTCAACCACCAGGATACATGCAGTTAAAAATGACAACAAAAATCCTCCATACGACTGAAGCTTATCGACGTAAGATGAATACTAAAAATTCAATGAATATTGTCTCGCGCACAAATTTATTGAGTGTGGTTATACTCATTTCACCACAAAACCTGAATAGTTTGGTTTAGTTAATTAAGCTGAGATATTCCTGAGTAAAGATGAATATAGTCATACATACGTATATCCGTAATGAATAAAATTACAGTAAGGTGGTCAGTAAAATCATTTGGGTAGGTTAGGGCAGTCATTGATTCGTCCTAAAAAATTTGCTTGACACTTTAAAATTAAATCAGTTTGATCATCTGATCAGACTATTAATTCTATTCTATATTCAGACTATTTCTATTGGAAGTGCCTATCTAGTCCCTTCCAAGGAAGAAAATAAATTAAAAAAAAATCAAGTTGTAGATTCTTACCTTGCAATTAAAAGAACCATGGGATGTGACCGGAACAGATGGCATTCCAGAAGACAATCAATTCCTCTTCGTATGAAAATTTGAACGGCATCTGAAAATAAAAAGTAATTCATGGTGTAAGACAAAGTCAAAAGAATTCATCCGGATACAATTTTTAAAACAGATTTGCATTGCACAGGTTGCATTGAAAACAAGATTCATGCGAGGACTGGTATACTAGTTCCGGAGCTGCATGGGTATATGATTCTCGTGTATTCTCAAAATAACTTTTGATACTTATAATATTTGGTCCCGTTTAGAGAACACAGATGATTTCCCCTGTTGCAATAACCAATTAGAAGTTCCACATTTCAAGGCTAGGAAGTACTTAATTTGGCCAGTACACACTACACAAAAAAGTGATCGACGCGGGTGAACAAAAATCGATCACATTATCGGGTTACTCATGATGCATCTTTGATAGAATATACACAAGTGCAAGGCATGAGTGTGATCAGTACACTGCGAGGTCAGCGAACCATCCTGGGAACTGGCATGCGGGCCAAGCTAGCTTGCTTGACAGTGGGAATGAGGTGCTAGAGGTCATGTGATGCTTCTTCCTGTGCAGCAATAGCGCCTCAATCTCATCCTGTCATCAAAAGCCCATCTTGCTTTCCGCTCATTTGCTTAGGCCACAAGATATCACGAAATTACAGAACTCCCCCCATCGCAATATATAATTAAGAATATATCGTGGTTAAATCCAATAATTCCAAGATGTTTACAACATATGTGATCTATCAATTACCGTTAGCATCACAGAGGGAGGTCAAAAGAATCAAATCGACTTTATAAATTTAAAAGGCCCTCTTGGCATTCACTAAGCTCTTAGAAACAAGAACGAATTATGGCCTATTGTTTACTTTGATGTATATAATCAATCGACGAAGAACGCTCATTTAAAAAGCCTTTCTTCCAGACCGCGGATGGAACGAGCTAATTGTTGTTTCTCTTTGAAGTATTTTAAGCTTGGAGCAGCTCCGGTATTCGAGCGCTGCTTACTGCATGCTGCGGTCACGTTAATAATATAATGGTAGACGCGGGACTCGGTAATTGTACGCAAGTACTTGTGCGTACGTCTCACGGACGTCGCGGCCGCGCTCGCACGGACGTCGCGGCCGCGCTCGCACCGCCGTCATAATGTTCGCGTGAGACGTTGCGCGGCCTTACGTCTTTGGAATAACCGTAATGAGCGTAGGTATTGCAAAGTTTGTGAATATTTCATGTTTAATTCCTTGTGGACCTATCTAAGCCAGAGATCAGGAGGACAAATAGTCACCAAGCTAGATATGATTCACGCACATTCGATTGAGCAAGCAATAAGGCTATAAAAATTTCATTCGTGTTTGGCTTAAAATAGAAAACAATCTCTCAAGAAAATTTCACAGGGATGTACAATTTAATGCACTTCGAGAAATTTGGCTCAGCTGTACGTCAAAATTGTAGACAATCGTTGCAATTGCCCGATATATCTCAACTGTGATATAATAAATCATGATAATGATAATGTAATACATGATAATGTCCTGCCGGACGTTCTTTTCTCATATATACACTCTCTTTTTGGGACATATACGGAGAAAGGCGCTTAAGACTAAAGCTTTGTTACACAATGATTACGGGCCCGACGCTTTGCCAATGTTGACAGTCAAACAAAAAATTCGATTTGGATGATATTGCTCACGTCCTTGAAAAGTCGAGTACAGTGTTCAAGTTACTGTCCAATTCTGAACGTATTCTACTTTCTCTTTGGTGCGTTTGCTAGCCTTACTCTTTTGAATGGAATTCAGAGGTGTGCAACAGACCGATCGAAGACTTCGAAGCCTGCCAATGCACAATATAGTTACGTTTAATTGAATGTGCATCACACTAAATTGCTGACCATTCAAGCCTTCTTTTCAGGAAAATTATCTTCTATTATTAATTATCTAATTATACCTATTTGAATTTTAGGTTCAACCTCAGGGTTGAGGATTTGATAAGCAAATCCTGTAGACTAGCTTCCTCAGTTTCTCGGGAACATTCACTATACATGTATTTTTGTTGCAAAGGTATGCACTATTATTAATTTACAGAAAAAGTCATGGAGAGCTTAATGCCCGGGATCAACAAAAAAATTCGCGGGGGTTTGAAAATCGAACAGGTTGTCGGGTTATTTAGGATACATCTACGATAGAATGCAGGTACGATTCGTACGTGAAACCACACAATTATTTAATAATAAACTTGACCCGAAGTTTACAATCAGACGATTGTGAAAAAAATGTTAATTCTTGGGAAAAAATAGCAAACTGTGTTCAGAATAAGATAGAATTCGTAATTAAAAATTTTAAAGTCAGATACATTTAGACCCAACAAGTTGTGTTGAATATGCATGGAGTCAATAACCCGAGCCCAAGTCTTGTAAGCACGGACTTTTTCTTTAGATCGAGTGACATTTGAAGAAATTCGACGGTTGTACAAAAACCAGCGCAAGAGCGTTTATGGCGCAGCAAATATTAAACTCGCTCCAACGAGTCTGAGTGAAGACAATAACTGGCATAACTGTACTGCGGACAACAGCCCACACATATCACGCATGGTGGTAAAGATATTGATGGCTATTCTAGGACGAGTGAATGCTTCCGTAGCAAATACAGACGGTGGTTAATGAAAATATATTGTTACGGTATTATCACAAACATGAATGTTAATGATAATCAATATTACTATATTCTCTAAGCAAATCAAGCCAAGACCGAAAAGTTGAAGTACAGTTTACGCAGATGGGAAGTTTTTGCAATAACGACTCAGTCCGGAATATAAAATGCCCTTCTATTTACGTTGAATTAATTCGATAATAGATGCACTCAATCGCCAACGTTAAATACGATTTTACTTTTATCGAACATTAACAAGCGTTGAAATATTCATTTCTTGGAACAATTACACAATCAAGCATCACATGTTCAAATCATAATCACATGTTTAGTGGTGACAAGCGTTGTTAGGGTCTTTGCACCCGTCACCTTGCCATGTTATACCATCACCGGAAAAAACTTACAATTGGCAAAGGCAAGCTATTTACACTTTACATAGCGTTAAGAAAAAATTATTTTAAACTCACTAACTCTGCTTTATGCCGTGAGGTTTTCAATTACATGTAATTAGATTCATAGTTGGAAGAGTTATGCGTATAGGCGAGTTGAATATGAGATATATGCGTAAAATAGACAGGTTCGCAACCGCAAAATTAAGGTCCGACAGGTGAACAGCCGCCTCGCGGACTATTCAATTTAATTTACCTAATTCCACACTAAATACTGGCTTGATACGATTACAAATCGTATGGAGGTAATCAGGGATCTAAGACTGTTTTGGCCTTAAAAACATTTGTGCTGGTTTTTTTCAAACTTTTAGGCTCACTAATGTGTTTCCGAATGAAGCAATTATTATACAATTATAAAATAATTTAATTTGGCCATTTTCCTGATTCACCAAGACCAGTAAACCATAGAATGATGGGCAAAAGGTCTGAGAGTTGTCTGTTATATTAGTATCATTGTTTTATCTTCGGATCACCTCAAACCACACAACAAGGGGATGAGTTCAACAAGATTTCAATATATCAAACTCCCATACTCCATCGGCAAATTTTCTCAGAATTAGCGGACCAGCCACCAGAAAATGATGTGCATGAGATTGCAGTGTTAGGTTCAGAGTGGCTTGCTCGGTTTCATTATAGGCTCGACAGCTTTACGATTATTTCTTAAGTTAACATCTCGCTTGCCTGGTTGCAGCATGTGTCTTAGCAGCGGAACGCAGACGATTTATGTCAGTTTTCTAACCACTTCCAGGATGTTCTTAGTTGGATAGTCCTTCGTTTCCAGTCATGCTTTACATTAAACTTCTCACTGTGGTTCTCTTACGTTACACCTAAGGTGTCGTTCGCTCAAAAATCAAAATGAAGCAAGTTTTCTTTACAATGAGATACAATTATTCGTGCGGTCATGAATATTGTAACGAAAATACCTGGATCATTATTAATGACTTACTCTTAAAACATCTTTTTTAGTTCACATTCAGGGTATAAACAAAAAAAAAAACATCCAATAAATTTCAAATGAACCAAGAGTATTTCTAAGAAATAAGAAGTGCATTGAAAAGCGATTATTATCATTGATATAATCCTCTATTTTGCACTTATATACAAGATTTGGCGTAGAAATTTTAACCTACGGCAACTGAACGCTAGCCTTAGCATTATCGTGTAAGCGAAAACGACGACCAAGTCCGACAAATACGACATGCCGAGCTCTTAATGTGATATTCATGTAGTTTGCTCGGCGTCTTTTGAAGCGCAAGGCAGTGAGTGACTCCAACAAAACCTAGCATTTCTTATCTCGTCTTCCCATGAATGCCACTAAGCTGGAAAATCTCGGAAAATGCCTACAGAAATTGTAATCGAATAACCACCTACGCAGCCGACCCTGAGTCCTACACAATTGATAGCAAATCAGTTACACGCTGCACTCTGCTGTTATTATACAGTTACACGCTGCACACTATACATTATACTGACATATAGACCCACAAGTACAATTTGACCTAAGAACTATAGTCGATAGCAAATAATGTTTGAAGGAGCGAAGAACAATCAAGAGCAAAGTAATGCATTACGATAAAGGCTAGAGTTGACGTGATATTGGTAGAAGATATATAACGTTAAAGAGATAATGCATGCTATGTTGTACATTTCTCGACGTCAAGTGTGCAATTACAGAAACATAAATTAAGAATTTCAAATTGTTAAATTATAAATCGAAATTGTATTAAACTTCAGGAGCGATCATGTTGAAACACGAAGTTTTTTTATGGTCTCAATAATACGCGTTTCTTACAAAAAGCAACTCGCCCTTACAGCTTTGGTAAAATCAGATCGATAATGGATTGAATATTTAAAATATCATGTTAATCTAATGAAAACACAAGGTAAACGTATCCTGCTGAATGATTGTATTGTTGTTGTATCTTGTGTTGTTGTATCCTGTTGACTGCAATAAACTAAAATAA